GTCCAACTAGAAAATAGGGGGCCAAACTCTCACTTTGGAGAGTCTTTAAGGTGTGTATGGCCACCTTATGGAGGTGTGTGACTGTACACTTTCAAGGAAATGAAGAACATGAAGAATTTAGGCTTAGATCAAGATATCTTACCAGTATAACAAGTTAGATGATGGAATACTTCACGTTTTTTAGGCCTTTAGAGTGTTCTTGGATGAACTTTCTAGAGAGAGAAAGTAGACTGCAACCAAAGAGGGAAAAGAATGAATGAAGGGGTCTCCCCTATATATAGAGGGGAATGTGCAGCTGGGGGGTAGGTGTGCGGCCGCACACCCGTGTGTGCAGCCGTACACACCTCCCAAGAGGGTGTATGACCCGGTTTTGTCCCTATACGACTTGTTGACTCATTCCTAAACTCATTACCAGTTGTACTCAAGCTTAGAACACTTAAACAAATCCTTAAACTGCGTTAAAAGATAACAAAATCATGTTTAGTATTGATAAAGTTGACCAATCATACAGAATAAAAGTTTCGGGTTGTCACAACATAATATATGAGGTAGGGAGAGAGAACAGGACGGTGTAGGGATACTACTGTCACCGGTATGAGTAATTTTGAGACCCATACCATTGCGAAGAACAATTTCATCAGGCCCTCCATAGTCCATTGGAGGTTGCAGGTTAGATGGATCCGATGTAAAGTGATGTGATACACCGGTGTCAAAGAGCCAAGTGGGTTGAACTGGGTTTATTCTAGTTGTTGTGGTGTTGGCAACGGGTCCTTTGTTTATTTCAATGTTGTTCTCACGTAGAAACCGTGAGAGTTTACAACATTCCTTCGTATCATGGCCATCGATGGAGCATAATTGGCAGTGAGAGTTCGAGCGTGTGGTGCGATTTCAGGTGTAGGAGTTTGGCGGTTTTGACCATTGTGGGCGTGAGTTATGTGATCTCGGATGATACCCATGATTTGACCGTTGATTGGAGTCAAAGGAAGCATGGACCTGTTTGGAGGAATAGACCCATTACGTGAAGTGTAGGTATAGTTGGTTGTGACAACTAGGGATGAGCATCGGAACCGGGTACTCGCTTTTGAAACTGGAACCGCCTTAATCGGTTCCGGTTCTAATTCTCATTTTTTTCGGAACCGCTACCCGCTGGGTACCCGCCGAAACCTATATATATATATATATATATATATATATATATATATATATATATATATATATATATATATATATATATATATTAGTATTTCATATAAACATGTGTGTGTTACTTAGACCGGTTTAGAATATATTGGTCCGATTCTGTCCCTCTTTGATCTGAATTGATTCGATTTGGATCGAACTAAGTTGCGGTTTTATCAACAAAAGTTAACAAACTTAATGTAACCAGATTACCTGCTCTCGGAACTGGAACCGCCGGTTCCGGGACTGGTTCCAAAAATTTAAGAACCGCCTAGAGCGGTTTCGGTTCCGGTTTTAACTTTCTAGGAACCACCAGTTCCGGTTCCAGTTCCAGTTCTTGTCAAATGAGGCGGGTACCCGCCTATGCTCATCCCTAGTGACAACATCAGGAGGAGGAATTATTGTTTCCTTCAAAAGTCGTTCAAAGTCTACTAATTTGTCATAGAGTTCGGAGTAAGTAATTGGGTTTTCCTAGACTTTGATAGCAGCGAAAATGGTTTTGAAGTCATCTCTTAGTTGATTGATGATGTGAATCATCAAGTCTTCATCAGTGACCGGGCTTTGGGCTAAGGTCGGATCGTCGGCAATTGATCGCATGTCATGAAGATATTCGGTAACAGTGCGTGATCCTTTTGGATTGGTGGTAAGTTTAGATTTAAGTGAGATGATTCAGGAATGGGAAGCATTGGCATAGCTTGTGGTGAGACGGGACCAAGCTTCATATGATGTTTCAACAGAAGATAGCAAGGGTTGTATAGCATCTGTGCAACTACCGAGTAAGGCGCCGAACAAGATTTGATCTTGCCTATACCAGTGAGAGTACTCAACATTGGTTTTAGTGGGGGGTTTTGAAGAACCATCGATGAAGTGGAGGAGATCAAGTCCGATGAGGGTGACGAAATTGTTTTCTCCAAACAGGAAAATTAGATGCAGTTAGTTTGATAGGGAAGTGGGTAGTGGCTGTGAGATGAATGATGGTGGTAGAAGGAGTTGATTTTTCTGACATGATTGTGATGATTTTGCAGGTTTGAGAAGAAGGATGGCAGTGGGGATCGAGATTTCTTAGAGGAGAAAGAGAGCACTTGATACCATATTAAGATATTGATTTTAATATTGAATTGCTCAATTACACCTAAAATAACTATACATGGTGAACCTTGACTAACTAAATATGGTAAATATTCTAATGGAGATGATTGTGGAAATATTTATGCGATTGCGTGATACCACGAGTGGACCAAAAGGTATACCAAAGTATAGGGACTGAAACAAAAATTCACACCATCAATGTATTTCTTCCGAAAGCTGGTTTATACCTTTTGTTTTTTTTAACGACGCAAATAGTTCACATTACAAACAAACAAATTGATTGTTCTTTATATTATTTTCTAAAATTTAGAAGGAAAAAAAAAAAAAAAAAAAAAAAGGAAGGAAAGATCCCCTTTGGAATTAAAGATCTACCATATTACATAAGAAAGTTGCAAAATAATTTGATCTGGACGTTGAATTTGTAAAGTAGTCTGCAGTACTTTCCTATTTCTTTAGTCCAATTAGGGATCTTCAAAGTATTGAAAGATTTTTTTGGTACTTTACCAACATTTATGTTAATGAAAACACCATCTTAACTTTTCTTTTCAAATAATCAAGGTGGTATTTGCTTGCATTTTTTATTACTCCAGGTCAAAATCAAAAAAATGTTACCAATGTGGATGTGTGTCACAATGATGTGGAGATTTTATGTTTTTGATTTGGAACTCTACTGATTTACTTGGTTGATTCTACGCTATTTTTTTATTCTTTTTTATCAGAATTCTAGCAAAAAATATTGGAAATGAGATGTATGCTAACCTTGTTTTGTTGTTTCTCCTGATACAATGTTTGTGCATTTAATTAGATATCATCTCATGACTTCACCCTAGAATTCCTTTGTTATCTACCCCATGAAGCTATTGATTACCACTTGATTTGATTTTATATTTTTTAGAAGAAAAGATAAAGAAAATGGACTAAAACATTTCAAGAAATCAACCAAACGATCTTCAAACTTGACCTAAAACTAACACTAACCTATAAACTTCTCTCTATAGGGGTATTAATTAGATAATGTATTTTTCACTATACAATGATTTAAGCCATTAAATTATTTTTTACAGGTTGCCTTTTTTGTAGTGAAGAAATAACAAAAATCTTTGTTTATTATGTAGCTTATTTGTCTTCTACCGGTGGTCTTTTCTACGAATGTGAAATTTTCTAAGAAGGAAGAACATGCTAAAAGGAGGTGGGTTGTGGAAAAAATTTCAGTTTTCTAGGAAAAAATTTCAAGAAAAACAGAAATTTTGAAAACGCGTTTGGTTCGTTTAATTTTTGCAAAGTTTTCTAAGAAAATGAAAATTTTTAGTTTTCCAAATTGTATGTAATTAGAAAAGTGATTTTTACAGTTTTCCAAATTTCTAAGATGGAAAATGAAAATTCCACCCGTTCCTACCAAACACGTTTTCAATGAATATTGAAAATGAAAACTCAACTCTATTTTCTAAAAACATTTTCATAGAAAATAAAAACAGTCTTCCACAACCAAACGCACCTTTAGCCTTTTTGGTTTTTACAATTTTTTTTGGCTAACTATGGACAACTTGTTGACATTGCATCCTAAGACTCTAAAGACCACTTCGACTAGAAAGGAGGTCGCAAGGCTCGAATAGCAGCTAGATGTAAACAGGTCATTGGCATTGTAGGTCTTCATTATTTTATACTTTTTTACCATTATAGCAATGCACTTTTATTTATAGCCCATAATAGCAATGTACTTTAATAAATTCATCTTGTTATCCACTTCAATTAAAACCTTACGTTATTTGTCTGTTCCCCTTACTAGTATATTTATATAATGATTTTTTTATGCACATACTTTACTTTGAATGATTGAAAATTGAATGAATGGTTACAGAATATAGTGGCATATAATATTATACACTCCACTTTAAAATGACCAACCTAAAGCCACTCCCACTTGAAGCTTGATAGCCATATAAATCAATTTTTATATAAGCATATGCTCCACTTCATTCACGATCCCAAATTAATCATAAAAAATTGCATTCACACCCAAATATAATAAGAATCCAATAAATAACATGCAAGTAATTTTTCGGGTATTTCCAAAAATACCCATCCCTACATAAAACCCGACAATCCGAATTGAGATATAGATCGAGTATCGGTTATTACTATTTTAAGAACAATCCAGAACTATTCAAAACCCGAAAGTTATACATAAACAACAGGACCTAATGTAAACCATCAGTGGAGTTTATGTTATTCTCTATGAAAACTAAATAACAAATGGCTTAGAATTTGTTTAGCAAAAATAATATAGCTCATTGTTATTTAAGGTTTGGCAAACCATATAATAGTAATTTATCGATGTTTTGCAATAGTTTATAATCTAATTTGAAACAGGTTATTGACAAAGAATAAAAACATTCAGTCAAAATTCAGAAAAATCATGCACTATTTTCTTCAGTTTTTTTCCTAGTTCTTTCTTTTCTCTTTTAGTCCTCTTTCACCTTAAAAGCTTTGGATGAGTTTAAGGAGCAAAGCATCTTTTCGTTTACTTTAATCGAAAAAAGTACAGAACTAGCTCCCTCTATATTTGGTCCAATTGTAGAACATTCATCAACCACATAGATTTCTCCCAGAAGCTGAAGATCATCGTACTACTAGTATTCCAACGTAACATATTGGTGTTTAATCTAAGCATCGGTAATGGAGCTCAAACCCAATTGCTAAGCTACGCCGCTGTTACTGAACAACATATACAAATGACAGCGATTAATGCAATCTATAAAGCCTTGAAAAGGGCATTTGCTGGTATATTCTTAGAGAGTTCTCACAGCTTCAGGAAAAGAAGAGGGAATCAGCGATTTTCCGACGAAAAGTCCACCGGATCAGGTGGTGGTGGTATGACAGTGTTTGATAAGCTCACTGACGAGCTCTTAATCGAAATCCTAATACGTCTCCCTCAAAAGCAAGCCAATATCTGTAAGTGCGTCTCAATACGCTTTCGTTCTTTAATTTCACGTTCGTATTTCATTCGACTTTACGTGAATTATCATCAAAACAACAATTGCTTCGGTCTTTATTATCAATCGCAACTCTCGTTCCCCAAAATTCGTCCTTCCGATAGCGTTCGGATTTCCCAGTTTTGAATCTCCAGGGTTTTCTTTATCTTTCATTAAAAAAGAGATTTTACAGTTTTTGGCTTCAAACAACGGATTGGTTTTATGCTGTGCGCCTCTTCGCAATCCAATTGTTTACTTTGTTTGTAATCCATTAACGAAGCAATGGATTCCTCTTCCTCCACCTCCAACCAATATCAAAACAGTGTACATTGGGTTTATATGTAATCCCCGATATTCATGTAACGATGACGATGAACGAGGAAGTTTTAAAGTTGTTCGTATTGAAGTAGTTAACTGCAATTCGCATTGGGATCTATCAGACACATTAAAATTAGAAATCTTTTGTTCGGTGTCAGGGAGGTGGAGGGAGGAGTACTTCATGTCAAATTCGACTCATGATCATGGATTTTTCTGCGGATGGGATAGTTGGTGTCCTAGTGCTGTGGTTTGTGATGGATTGCTATATTGGAATTCTGTTTCAAATAGTGGTATTTTCTGTTATGATCCTTATAATGGTGAATGTAGAACCATTAAGCTTCCACATGAGATAAGAAATCAAGTACGCCATTTCCGCTACATCTCAGGGAACTGCTGCTTAGGGGAGTATGCTGATCGACTTAGATATTTCTATTTTTCTCGGAGGAGTTGGAATTACAGAGTGTGGGAAATGAGAATGGTGGTGAGTGTGAGTGGTTGTTGTTGCATAAAGTTGAGTTGGATGAAATGAAATGTGGAGATAAAAATATCGACAAGAATAAAATGGGTCTCCTTTCGCCCCATCCGCTTAATAAAGATATTCTCTTCTTTTGGTGTCCGGCTGACCTTCCTTCCTTTACGATTAGAATTGTGGAATATGATATGGAAAAGAAGCTTCTGACGTTACCTTGTTTGCTTCGAGATGCCAGAGTTATAAGTTTCTTCTTCCCTTTGTTCTCTCCATTTGTTCTTCCCTGCTGGCCTACCGCAGTTCCTCCCATCCAGCAGCATGGCCTAAGCTAGTATGCAGCCCTTATTTATTATTTTAAATATAGTAATCTATCGGACAATTGATAAGAAATATATGGTTATATTTTTAGCATCTTGGTGTTTCTAATACTAATCGGATATATGATGTTGCTGTTTATTTATATCTTACTGCTGTTTAAATTTATGGGAAAATGACTGTTGAGGATAACTAACTGTTCTGTTTGTTTTTATTTGATCAATTTCTTTTTTTGTACTCAATATACCATCGAAATTGTTGTTTGTGTTCACCATAACCCTTTTGACCGACTTTTGATCTGTGATAACCGGTCAAAGGGTTATAGTGAATACAAACAACAAGTTCGATTGTATATTGAGTACAAAAAAAGAAATTGACCAAATGAAAACAAACAGAACAGTTAGTTACCCTCAAGAGTCATTTTCCCTTTACTCATTTACAGCAAATCTTATGTCATCTTTAGCTGATATGAATGACTTTATGAGATTCATTATTGCTTTCTTCGAAACAGAACCCATAAAATAACATTATTCATATATGTACAACTTTGTAATGTACTTGAATATTTATTATGGAATCTTGACTAAGCAGGTACATTTCATAACTACATTTACATTTTCAATCAAATAATTTATTGTATCATGGATTTTAGACAAGTCTATAAACGAATGGAATCACAAGTGCTGTAATTTTTTAGTTTACTTAGCTTTAAGATCGAATTTATGGGATAAGATACAACATAAATATGTACAATATCATGCAGCTTTTACAGACACATCACCATAATATATCTTAAGGTAAACATAACATAGACCATGTTTTAACGAAGTTATCCCTCCAAAACGTTCTTCATATACGTTATGGCCAAAGAAGGTTGTAGTCTTTGATAATTTTGCAACTTTAATTTCATTTAACTTTTCGGGAAAAATGACTTAGGAGGGTAACCAACTATTGAGTTTGTTCTCATTTTAGTCATTTTCCTTTTTTTGTACTCAATATATCATCGAACTTGTTGTTTGTGTTCATCATAACCCTTTAACCAATTATCACAGGTCAAAAGTCGGTCAAAAGGGTTATGGTGAACATAAACAACATGTTCGATAGTATATTAAGTACAAAAAAAGGGACCAAATGAAAACAAACGCAATAGTTAGTCACCCTCAAGAGTCATTTTTCCTAAATTTCCGTGTAGATCTGCATTATTGTTTATAATACAATTGCAATCAACTGCCAATTAGTTTTGAGGTTTCAGAAATCATTGTCAATGGTGGCTGCTTGCATAGTGTCTATTGTCCCTTTTGATGTTTATCGTTTTTTATATAGATGATTTTAGATGGCAAATCCTGCATCTATCACTCAACTTTGAACTCAAACCTCCGTATACTTGTGTACTTACCAAGTTTATCAAAACAAATCTTTTGATTTAAGAGTAAAATTATATGAATGGTCCTTGTGGTTTGGGTTAATTTGAGTACTTGGTCCCTAACTTATTTTTTGAACTCGGAAGGTTATTTAAACTTTTTTTTGTTACGTATTTGGTCCCTAACCGACTTGACTTGATGGAAATTTTCTTTTATTATTGTTTGTTACTTATTATTAAAAAGAGATGGTAATTAGATATTGGGGCTCACACAACCCCCCCCCCCCCTCTCTTTCTTCCACCTTTTGTTTTATCTCATGTCAAACCAACATACCTCTCAAAACTTACTATCTTCGGTCGGTGAAAACCCTCTATTGCCACCACCCTCCATTGCCATCATATGTTGCCTTCTTTGCCGCCCTACCACCACCGACCACCCTTTCTCACTCTTTCTCTATGTAATTTTATTTTCTTCGATCCCTCTCTACAAGTGACCATTTTCCCATTGATGACCCTCCATTCTCGATCTCCTTCTCCAACCAATCTCAACATCTACAAAACTATTTAATTAGTTTAGACAATTGTTTTCATCCGATTTTAAAATCAAATTTAGCATCTCAAAACTTGATCTTACAACTCAATCTCGATCTGCAAAACAGAGAACAAATTTGTTTATAGGAATAAGATTCAAAAAACAAACAAATATACAAAGAGCCATTTTAAGTTCAAATCTATCCCCTTACCGATTTAAAATATGATGAATCATAAATATATCCCCGTCGAACATTTCAGACAAGACTCCACCAGAATTACCACCCTTGGATAAGTTTTTGAATGAGATAAAATGTTTTAATTTGGCTTAAATTTTATGGGTGTTACAATAAGTGCTTAATGGAGTGGATTGGTAATCTGGTAAGTATGTTGGGTGTACTCAGTTGGTACGTTGCGCGTATTGGCAGGCATACTTAGTAGATTGACTTTTGGGTTTGACCTTCATGGGTTTGGTCTATATTTTAGGCTTTTAAGGTTTGGGATTTGTTGGGCCATTGGACTTCTGACTTTGGGACATGTATAGACTATGGACTTTCTTAGGATTAGGTCCATGATGATTTTGGGCCTAATTTGGAAGTTGGGCCTTATTGGGCTTTGAGATGCTATTAATGAATTTTGGCCTTTTGAGCAACGGGACGTGTGACATCCCCAAAATCTCGGCCAGAAAAGACCGATTTTCATTTATGCTTTTAAAATAATTTCAGAGTAAATCCTTTTGATTTGAAAGAGTTCAGGAATTTGTTCCCAAAAACAAAACATGATAAAACAATGTTTACCAAAGCATTTCATAAAACAAATGTATTTTCATTATATAATCAAAACTCGGGGTGTCATGTTCCGATACAGACCAATACGCATAAACGATAACATTACAAGTCATTCAACAAATATATACATATGCAGACTTGTAAAAAAAACAACTTGATGGTTCATCCATCTTACGCCCTTGCGCCACTTCCTGTAATACAAATAAAACTGAGTGGGTCAGGCTTGGGAGCTTGGTGAGCATATAGGGTTTTCAACCCACAACAAATAAATTATATTTAATTTCACCAACCAGTCACTATCCCGATTACCCATTCCCGTTATCCTCACTTTACGTCCCTAAAACAACATCTATCTCAAGGGACCTAATCTAGGATTTTTGTGACATCCCCATTTTCACGGCCAAAAAAGACCGATTTTGTTTATGCTTTATGAAAATCAGAGTACTTCATTTTATAAAAATGTTGCGGAATTTGTTCCCAGAAAAACACGGTAAATACGTTATTAAAACATTTTCGAAGAAACGTATTTTTATTCATCTTCAAACGTTTGGGATGTCATCGTTAATACAGAAACATAAGCATAAACATAACTTACAATTATTTACACTAGTGATCTACAACTCTTTAAATCTCTCAGTGTAATGTCACTTCATTTCGTCACTTGTGATATACATAAACTGAGTGGGTCAGGTTGGGTAGAACATGGGTAGATAGTTGGTGTGTAATAAACAGATGAGAGGCCTCGATGTTGTTATTGTTGACCTAGTTATTCAGCGGAGTATGGATAACGACCACAGACTCCTTCTAGACAGTCTCGTGGAACGCTAGCAGGTTCATAACCTGTAGGTGTTGTGAACGATGTGTTCAGCGGTGTACTCTATCCCCTTCATGGTTGCCTTTAGGATATCTATTGTTGAGGAAACCCCTTAGCAGTAATGTCCGTCCCGATGAAAATTGTAACGCCCGTAGATCCGGGCTAGTCAAGTTAGAGGCAATAGGGGTTGAAAATGGATCTCTTACTGGACTAGCCGACTAGATGTGGCTCAACTATACAATAATACCTATAACAAGCTTTAAAAAATTGATGCCCCACTAGAATTTGTTGCCTTGGGTCGTGGCCCAACTCGCCCTGGGCTTGGATCTGCCCTGTTTCCATCCTATGCAAGATGATCAATCGGCGAGAAAAAAAAGTTTATGTTATTCAAATTATAAATTGCTTTCATTGCTATCTTTGAGTTTGAAAACAATTTTTTAAATAAAACCCGACAATGTGTGTGTGTGTGTATATATATATATATATATATATATATATATATATATATATATATATATATATATATATATATATATATATATATATATATATATATATAATATGACAAAACTATTATTTCATTAACTGGTTTTGATGCTACACATACTTAATGTAGTGAATACGATAACTGTATTGAATATTTATTGATAATGTTTGGATCCTTATATATAAATTTTAAGCTCGGCCACTAATTTACGATGGATTAATGACGGATGTCGCCTTCCAAAAATGGCCCTTTTTAGTGTCTCTTGGCATGCTTTGGCTAACTGTGTGCTCCTCGAGACAATTGAGTTTTCTTTGGTTCGACTTGTTCAATCATAATTAATCAAATTGGCATGGTCGGGTTACTTGCAAACTACAAAGTGATCTTTTACCGAAATCGCAATCACCAACACCAAACATAAATATTGAATAGTAAAAGTGAATGGGTAGAAAACAAAATTGAATCTTGTTTTTTTTAACTACAAAACCCATAGAAAATTGGTACTCATTTGGTATGCAGAAAATAATTAAAACCTTGAAAATAGATACAAATCAAACTTGATATATTTTCACAATTAAAGGGTTGAAGTCTACGTCAACTAAACAGAAAAAATAAAAAATAAAAAAATAAAAATTGACATATTATCTAAGAATTAAAAGAATAAATAAATAAATAAATCAAACTTCAGCCACACTCTGGTTCCTTGTTGCATTGGTCTCCGGCATCCTGCGCTTTGACAGCTTCATCACCACCCAAACAACAAAATAAATGGTATGAATCAACGCGGTGATCCCACAACCCAACAGCAAAACCAAACAAACCCAAACACTCGTCACATCCACATACCCATCTGGCGCCATCATCGCTATCGACTGCAGATAAGTAGCCACCATAAACACCACCGTGAACAGTGTTCCAAGCGTAAGCACCCACATTAAGAACTTGTTTCTCAGAGGAAATCCGGTGATCAAGATAACAACTATGCCCAACGAAAATATCATAGTGATTGTATTATACATCACGAAACTGTTGAACTGATCCATATCTACTTCCGTTTGAACTGCGTTTCCAAGAGAATACCGACCATTTTGGGTGTCAGTAATCGCCCCTCCGGGAGGATTGATACCGGAATGGTAAGCCATCGCCGCCGCCACTAAGGCGGCAACTATGAGAATCCCACGTTGCTTTTCCAGCCATTGTTTGTCGTCGTTTAGATACCGAGCCCATGTTCTTGATAGGAAACCCTTTCGTTTAATCTGAGAGAGAACTGCTGATGGTTGTAAAGGCTTAGAGAGAGGTCGAAGACCATTTGCTCTTAAAACACCCGCTTCCATAAGAATCTGTTGTGTTTCAAACCCTTTGAGATCTTTCGGGGATTGATCTAAAACATCTAGTGCCGTTAATCCATGTCTGTTTACAGCATTTCCATTACTTTTGATACTTTGTATACTCAGCAAATAGGTTAAAATCTGGACAAAATTTATCAATTATTAATAGAACCTAACAAATGTATAATTAACCTTGACTTGTTTGGGCTTAAAGATTAGAGAATATACCTGTATCTGTTTATTGATAGAAGCAGCATGCAAGAGAGTGTTTCCATTATGATCTGTGATCTTGGCTAACTCCTCTTCGTTCCACAGCTCCATCAACACTTTCAAAGCTTCAATCCGATTATAATTAACACACATATGCAATATGGTTTCTCCACTCGCCGGCGTCTCCTTAGCAGCTTGAGGATTCGCCTGAATCAGAGCCTTCATAACCTCCAAATGCTCGTTCATGGCTGCCAAATGAAGAGGGGTTAACCCATCTTGATCTTGAAAACCACACACGCCGCCACTTCCTAACCGTATAAGTTCTTGCACCATCTCCAGGTTACCATTGGCGGAGGCAAGGTGGAGTGGGGTTCGTCTTTGGCTGTCTAAGGCCATGGCAAGTTTCGGCTTTTGGGTCAGAACCACCGTGGCAAAATTGAGATGGCCGCGCATGGCGGCGATGTGGAGGGGGGTTTCATTGAAGGCGGTGAGTGAGAGTCTGTCGAGGATAAGTTGGTCTTGATGGAGTAGTTCATTGATTGCTTGTACGTCGCCTTTCAAAGATGCCTCGTAAAGCTTTCCTTCCATTTTTTCTGATATCGATAAAACACTCCTTTACATGGTGTTATATACTGGTTCGACAAGGAGGTGGACTTTCCACGATGTTTCTTACCAATATGTAGAACTTTGACCAATAAAATTTCAAAGTCAAAGAGACTCAAAGCGTGAGATAGTGGTTTAAACACAGGGCCACTGGATTTCTAAGGATAAGGTTCGGATTTCGGAACGATGATGCATCATGGCGTTGAATGGGATGAGGACCATCCGAAACCGCGTTTGTTTTTGTTGCTTGTAGTTCAGCACACTGATTCAGCAACTGCCTTATTAGGCCAACTTTCCTCTTTTGCAACTTGATCACATTAAAGCAAAGATCCACATATATTAAACGTATAGATATTAAAGTCCAAAGGCCAAAACGAATTAATAATGCAAAAAAAAGTTGTGTTAGCCAATGGTTACCAATTAAATTTGGTTTTGAAAGTAATGATCCCCATATTAAAACAATTGGTTAGGTGTGGAGTGGTGGAGTTTGTAATGATCAACCTAATTGTCTTTGGAGATTATTATATGGGAAAATGGCTTGTACAATGAAGTTTTCATTCAAAAAATCTCAATTATGTTTTGTGAGTTCAAGAAAACTCTACGAACTTAACGTTTTGCTTAAAAAACCCAACGAAATTACACTTTTATTCAATTCTATGGAAGTCAAAGAAGAGAAATAGATAGCGTGACTTATTACTATATCGGGAAAATGATTTGTAAGATCAATTTGCTAGGTGTGGAGTGGTGAGTTTGTCATGATCAACCTAATTGTCTTGGAGATTATTGTATACTTGGATAGTTGGATGTTAGCTAGACAATATACTTTTCCAGTATATAAATATCGCTTATTTGATGAGTATACATGGTGTATAAACTATAAATTTGGTTTGTTGACCAATGTTTTAAAAACCGGTTTGAACCAAACGGTCGAACCAATTGGACCGAAAACCAGATGAGAGAACGGTTCAACTATCACCGGTTTTATGTCGATTTCTGAACCAGATTGAACCGGCCGGCTTTTAGAAAAACCCGATTGAACCGGTCAAAATAAACCAGTTAAACCGAATAAAAACACATGAGAAAGAACAATTTCCATAATAAACTTTGGTGATTTTTTTTCAAATCTATTTAATTTTCTCTAAATAAAAACATATGATATATGTTATAAAGTTAAAGTTTTTTTATGTGTTTGTATTCATCTAAAATTATATTTTGTTTCAGTATTATATTATATTTTCTTTTTAACGTATATAGATTGATATAAAACACTAAAACTTATGGTTATGTGTTATTTTAATGTATTTGAATTGATCAACAACTTATTTTTATATATATTTTTAATATTTAAACTGGTAACGTCAAATTCATGATTTATATATGTATGTATGTGTAGGAAAATAGGAAAAAAAAATATGATAATTATAGAAATCGATTGAAACGGCGGTCGAACCGGTTGAACCGGGAACCAGTCACCATACCGGTTCAACTAAAAAACCGGTTTTTAAAACGGTGAATTATAAGTTTCTTGGCATGGTAAGAACAGAAGTTTTCAAATAGAACAAGTCCAAAAATAAAGTTAGCACAATTGCAATATGTCGTTTTGAAGAAATTGAAATGCCAATGTGGAATTGGTGACTTTGAGCAAAATCGAGAGAGCACATGGTAAAAATAGGGTGGTTTTCTTAAACTATATTTATTCATCACAAGAACTATTAAAACCAGATGAAGGGCCGTAGGTTACATTAAATATATTTATATAATTAAATACTTATAAATATATAATGAAACAGTTAAATAATTATAAAAATAAATTATTAAAAATAACTATATCCTCGAATTAACTTTAAAATAATATTTTGTATATTAAGGACATGGAAATTTATAATTATTTTAAACTATATGATAAAATAGATATTTATTAAAACCATATAATATCAAATAGTTAACAGTCTCAACTTATAAGTTGCGTTGTGAAAAAAATTAAGTATAACTTTTGAGACTGTTGACTATTGATATTATATAGATAGTTGAATATACTTGGATAGTTGGATAGTTGGATGTTAGCTAGACAATATATTGATGTTCATTGTCTCTAAATTGACTGGTCCGGATCTACAGGTGTTAAAATTATCTCCCCTTAGGATGATTACGTCCCAAAATCATCAACGAAATAGGACTTGTATAACGACTCTCTACGTTAACTCTTCATCCTAGATAATAACCATAACTTCTATGTTGCTTCGAACGAGTATTTAACTCTTGGACTCTTTGACTGCAGGTGGTGCTCGATCTTGCACCTACTCTTTATCTCACGTTAGACTCCAAATTTTGACCTTCAAGTCACAATCTCGATCCTTACTGGAGACTACTTCTTCTTCTTAACAAACTTAAGATACGTTCTTTTATTGTTACAATGGACCGATGTGTCATATTCTAATGACATATCATCGCATGTTGCAAGGCTTAGACTCAGGTCTCTTAGAGTTAAATTCCAGAACAGACTATAAGTTCCTTCATGTTCTAATCACATCTTAAAAGGTAGCATTTCTAGCCACAATCAACTATCGTGATACCTCTACTGATCGCTTTGATTATCTTTTATTTTAATCTTCCGACTTAAGTCAGATATTACATCGAACATTGGTTCTCTGAACCACGTAACATACTCATCGTAGTCGGACTTAATTTGATATGACCACTAGGGTCGGAATAACAATCATCTTCTTAGTCATTAACGAAACAATGGTAATGACATATATGAACAAAACGGAATCAACTACTAGCTTCTTGGTAACCTTGTGACTTTCCCTAATCTAAGTGTGAGTCTTGTGCTTCCGGTAGTATAGGCCTCTACTACCATTCACACCTACTCATACTTGTCCCAAGTATTGACTCACAACTTTCCATGTCACCATACAAGAAAATCACATAACAACTTAACACATCAGATAGCAAAATGAAGGTTTTATATTATTCCTTGAAACGATTACATAGGTGTTCAAGTTCACCCTAGACTATGCCTCTAACAGGCTACATCATATGATACTATGGCTAATGCATAACTCGATCTTCGGATATAAAGTCCTCATCCTTGATTCCTCACGTTGTTATTTTCTTCGTCGAGGATCATGTGAAATGCCCTTGGCTTTGGCGGTGCATTTTACCTTGCTGCTTCATTTTTCTTTGGGCAGTCTCTAGAAATATGTCATTCTTTGTTACATCCGAAACATACCTTCTTGTTGAATGTACACTCGTGTGACAACCCGATATTTTTCGAATCGATGTAATGACCTAAAAAGTCAAGGATTGTAATCTCTTTTAATGTAATGAAATTTGCATCAAAATTTGAATGTTCAAAAGTCTCTATTGGGTTACATAAAATAATAAACATCGTATCAAGGGTTTCAGAAATATAAAGAACACTAAAAACTGAGTTATAACGAAGAAGTTATGACCAATCTAAAAGTCATAGTAAAAACCAGCAATACTGATAAACATACAACGCGAGGTTTCAATAAAATTATATTTAGCCTTAGGTATCTAAATGAAAGTTGTAGATATCATTAGACCGTATACGTATATAAAAGAACATCCAAATATGACTTCGCATGAAAAAGTTATGATTTTTCCAAGTTCCGAATATAGCAGCACACAGCTAAAATACTCGAAATAGAGATCGAGATATTTTTAGCCGATACAACCTAAATGAAAATCAAAGATCTCAATAATAGTAGCACAACGGTATAAAGTCTGACAAGAACGGACATCGCATGAAGAAGTTATGGATTTTTAACGGACTTTTCGTGTTCCGGCCCGTTAAAAATAAATAAAATTAAAAATAAAGTCAAAATTTGCCGACGGAGTCTAAACGAGAGTTGTATAGCATAATCTCACCTACACGTGGATATAAAGAACGTTAAAAACGGAGCTCGTACGCGGAAGTTACGAATTTTACAAGTTTTCGGCACAAAATCTGGGGCTGTTAGGCCTACCATGACGTGGTATTGTGATTGATGGGTGCCAGGTGCGTCAAAAAACGTCTCATCAACGGAAGATGATAGAATCCCTCACCACGACGCGGTGACGTGTACCACGATGTGGCGCCCAAATTTGGGCTATAAATAGCAGTCGAAGGTGTTGGGTTCCATTGCTCATTTCTTCTCTCTCTCGTGTCGAAGCTCTGCGTTTAAACCCCCTGAAGCCATCCCGAAGCCCCAGTCTTCATATCGAAGTTCCGAAGGAAGGTTTTTCACTCCCGAGAGTCCCGAGATTCCCGAGAATCCTGAGAAATTCAACTTTCCCTAGTCGAAGTTTTGCTCAGTTTTCGTTTCACCTTCTTCTGTCTATCAAGTGAGTTCATACCCTTACAACTACGTTTTCAAATACTATATAAATGCTTTTATACACTTTCAAGGGGGGAATACAAGTAATCACACAGTTACTCTCGTGTGGAAAACATTAAACTCTTACTACAGTTATCTTTATGTAACAAATCATATGTGATTCATAACTATCATATGAAAACGTTCGCATGCAACACCTATTCAATAACATTTTGTCCTTTAAGAGTAAAAACAGGTTGTTATACAAATATCAAACACTTTATTTATATTTTGGTGTATAAATGTTCAATAGCATTATTACAAATGTTATACTTACATACCAAGCTGATACTGCACTAGGGTTTATCATACAACGAATCATACATTTGAGAAAAACTATATAAGGTATAGTTTACTAGATATTCAAGAGATTTTACATACTAGCAATTCCTAGGCTAAGGCATCACAAATCAGGCCACTCTAGTCCTAAGATATGAAATACCTAGCCTGTCTCTAGCATGCAATAATATCTCATAAAGTGCATCATAAAGATCTTAGAACATAGAAGCAATGGTATTTTAGGAATTCACCGTTTGAGCTCTGGCTGATTGTACACACTGCTCTTTCTCGCTTTCTCTTTGAACTCTTATTGGCTTTAGAAAATTTATTTCTTTGAAAAATTTTCTTACTTCCTCAGTTTGAGTCTAGATTTACCTGAAGGTGCATCTGAATCCCTCAAACCAAGGCTCTGATACCAACTTGTAACACCGTAAATTTCAAAACAATTTTTCATTTAAATATAATGGTTTAATTCTTAAAAACACTTTTCTTAAAATCTCATTCATAATCAAATTACATAACATAACTCCATTTTCACTTGCATAATAAACCAGGATCCTCAAAACATGACTCTTTCGCTGGTGTGTACAATCAAGCCGATGTCGTCCCGTGATCCTGAGAGAAACCTGAAACACATAACACAAAACATTGTAA